GTCAGCCGTGGCACCCACCGTACAGCTCTGTGAGACGGGATGTGTGTGAAGTATTTGCCACGTGCTCTGTCGCGGGCGTTGCTGGAATTGTTAATGGGATTCACACAGCAGCCTTAGGAAGAAGGCAAAGCAAGTTTTCCCCCAAGTGAAACAATAAAACGGGCTCAGAGAAGTGCCGCGGTCTGTTGTGGATTCTGCTGCTACCATCGGATCCTGGGGCTTACTGCTTGGCCCCAGGACACCAGCATGCTGCAGTTTTAAGTGTTGTTGTTTTGTTTTGTTTTGTTTTAAAGATTTTATTTATTTACTTGACAGAGAGAGAGCACAAGCAGGGAGAGAGGCAGAGGGAAAAGCAGGCTTCCCGCTGAGCAGGGAGCCCGATGCAGGGCTCGATCCCAGGACCCTGGGACCATGACCTGAGCCGAAGGCAGACGCTTAACTGATGGAGCCACCCAGGCGCCCCGGTTTTAAGTTTTTTATGGAACTGTGATAAACATTTAGAAAAGTACACATATTTCTAACGGTACCTGTGGCTCGCTTTTCATACACTGAACACACTTGTGCAGCCAGCGGCCAGATCAAGAAACAGGGCATTAGAGTGCCCCGGGAGTCCCCTTGTGATCTTTCCAGTCACTATCCCTGCAGAGATGATCACTCTCCTGTTTTTATCAGATGTAAATGAAAAGGCAGGTCTTTGAGCCTCAGCCTCTGCACGTGCTGTTCCCTCGCACGGACCTTTGTAACCTGGTAAGCTCTGGAGCTTTTAAAATTCTCCTCTGTGCAGCCTCACCCCTTGCTGACAAAATAAAATTCTCCTCCACTGAGCAGCTTCACCTTACGTGTCGCTCTTACTGCAAGCGCCATACTGAACTGTCACTGCACACACGTCTAGTGACTAGAAGCTCCTTGAGAGTGTGTCCTTCTGTGCCTGGCACAGATTATGGAACTAAACTGAAAACCCAGGACTTTCACATTTTCCATATCTGTGTACCTGAATATTGCATTTCAGGTCGTTTTAATTTCAGTAAATACATTTCGACGTAGGAAATGCTGTGAGAATTTTCTCGTGGCAAGACACAGGCTAGCAAGGAGTAAAGGCCCATTTTCCTCAGCATCTAAAATCCAGGGGCTCTAAAAACCAGTAACCCGAGCCGTGTGTCTTCTGTGGAAGCCCCTCTGTCCTGCTGCCACGCCCCAGTTAGCAGGCATCCTCCCTGCCCCTGACGGCCTAGTAGAGACATCTCGGGGGGTTAGAGGGGAGTACAGAAGAATTACACAAGAGACGCAGTCGCTCTTCCTCAGGGCTCCGTACTCCTTTCTGTGAAACCTGGCTTCAGTTGATGTAACTCAAGTGTAACTTCTCTTTGAAAAATTACAGATCATTGAATACGAAAAAAAGCAAACCCTGGGACAAAATGATACTGGATTCAGTTGTGATGGGACTGCTAACACATTCAGGGTCATGTTCAAAGAGCCTATAGAGATCCTGCCCAACGTGTGCTACACGGCATGTGCGACACTCAAAGTAAGTCTTCCAGAATGTTCCACAGGGTGAACTGGGGGGTTTCCTCTTGCATGTTACAGAGTGGTTTTCCATAGAAGCTGAGAGTCCCTGACGATAAAGCCTTTAGGAAGAGGGGAAAGAAGGAAGCTGGGAGTTAAAGTACTCTCCACTGGAGAAGCTTATGTGTAATTAAGTTTAAGATATATCAAATAGCTTCTCAGCACAGCTCGCAAGAAGTAGCCCTTTGCTTGAGTAGGAGTTTGAATGTTTGACAGAAGATAAAATAATTATTTTCTTAAAACCATTTCACTGTTGTCTAAAAGCGGACTTCTACATTCAGTATTTTTAATCATTAACTGGCTTTGTAGCAAAAACTTCATTTTTCATGAAATGGTTTAACATAAAGTTTCATATAAGAACTATAATGAAATATAATAGATTGTTAATCTAATTAAAACACCACATTAAATTGAGTGCTTATTAAATGAGAATTACTAATGAACCTTTTGTTCTCATTTAGGGTCCAGATTCCCACTATGGCACAAAAGGATTGAAGAAAGTCGTGCATGAGACACCTACTGCTAGCAAGACTGTTTTTTTCTTTTTCAGTTCCCCTGGCAATAATAATGGCACTTCAATAGAAGATGGACAAATACCAGAAATAATATTTTATACATAATTCAACATTCTGATACATCTTGGCTAAATAGTACCATACCATCTAGTCTCAAAGGCATAAAAAACTGGCCACAAAAAATAGTTTGAGTGTCATGAATATTTAAAATTTTAAGATAAGAAACATTTTAGTTTCTTAGAGGAGATGAAGAATGTTGATTTAAATCTCTGCATGGTTTAAAAGCAGATTTTCCATTTTCTTATAACCTTAGGGGAAAAGAGAACTGGGCGTAACTATTTAAAAAAACAAAACAAAGCTCAGGTCTTTCAGCTTTATCTTGTATAATTTCATAGATCAGCTGACTCCTGGTCTTTCCACAGTTTTATAGAAAGATTCTTGTTTCAGACAGCTGGTTTTGTTGTTGATGTTGTTTTAACTGTTGTGAAGGTTAGATGAGTTGGACTTACAGGCTTATCTATTCTGAAGGTTACATGAGATGGGATGGGTCAGTATTCCTAAAGAATTCCCATTAATTCACATAACTAATTTCAGAAAATTAAGAAAACTGACCTTATATTTGGAGTTTTGAAGTATCTGGTTGTTAGCATTCAGAATAGTGCTAGAAGTAGGCCTAATAAATGCCCAAGAACATTCTCAATGTATTTACAAAAAAGGATATTTTATAATAGTATATAGTCGTGTTACGTAGTACAGTTTTAAACTATAGATGGAGTTTGTACAGATTCACAATAATGTGACATAAACAGAGGATCTAAAGGTAGAGTCTAAGACTGGATTCTTTATCACTGAACTGCACCATTGTCCTCGTGTGTCTGTGTGGGGGATGCTCCTGAGAATGCCCGAGATTGAGATGGCGCTGCTGGTGGCGACCGGCCAACCAGCGTCAGTTCCCCATTGGGGCGATAATCTTACATAACAAGAAACTGAATAAAATACTGACCTTTCTAACAACTACTTTGAAATTTTAAAGAGAACCAACAGAATCACTCCTGAAAAGTATACTTACTGTCACCTACACAGTTCTACCCAAGAAGTAAGATACGTTTCATATTTATGACCTCACTCATGTCACAGGTACAGCTGTATTAGGAGGGGATAGGAAGTATACCTGGTAGAGTAACATTTGTATACTTTTTTATAAAGCAAAATTTTTATATAAATAACATTCTCTTTTTCCCTCAAAAGTGATTATCTTGTTAAAAAAAGCTTATGTGTAATTAAGTTTAAGATCTATCAAATAGTTTTGGAAGATGGTTAAAAATCACAGTTCTTTTAAGTAACAACTTAAAAAGAATTGAGGTTTTCTAAATAATAGTAATTAGGACAAAAATTTTTCATCTAAAATAGCACTTCATTTTATATTTTTAAGAAGGTAGTGAGGTGTGTTGGTGGCGGAGGTCTCAAAATTGCTGAAGAAGGGACATTTTTCTATCTCTGGTATCTTATGGATGTAAACCTCAGTTAACTGGAATATCTATGAAATGTATGTGGTTCTGGTTAACTAAAGATTAACCAGCAAATACCCTGTAGTAACCGTTATGGAAAGTACTTCTACCTTGCAAAGTATAGTATGCCCTGGGTAAGTAAGTTAATGTTTTTTTGACATTTGAGGCATTTCAAATGCTTTTCAAGTATGTTGTACTGAACAGTGATTGTAACTGAAGGTAGCTATAGAAGGGCTAAGAAACGGAACTGTTCACTGATCCGGGACATCCCCTGGAATTTTTAAAAAAATAAATATTATCCTTTTACTTTTTTGTTATTTGTCTTTTTTTTCCCCCCTGGAAGTTGAATATAAGACACTGTTTTGGGACAAGGATCCTAGTTAATTGAGGTTTAACCTTATTTTTAATTTATGGAAGTAATGCAACACAAAATAAGAGTGCCTCGCTGCTGCCTTAGCAGTAATCACTCCTGCCGTCTATCTGCTGCTTCGTCCTTTTTTGTGGCCTCCGGTGTTTCTCCCTTGTTCTAATCTCAGGAGGTGGGAGCATGAAGACTCCTCTCGTTATTTACTCTGTTAGGGTCGTTTGGTGTTAATAATCGCTACCAGAACGATCGCTGTGTTGCGGGCTCTGCACTAAGTAGCTGACACATTCTCATCTGTGCCTCACATCAGTGTGAGTTAAGTACTGTTCTAAAACCCACTTCACACGCAGAGATTTCATGTTTCTAAAGGTCCGTCGGGGGAGGCAGGATATAAACCCAGGTCTCCCTCCCAAGCTGCAGCTCCTGAATATCCCTGAGATGATGCACTCTCCGCTCTCTGCCCCGCTGCCATCATCCTGGCTCAGGCCACCATCTTCCATCTGAGCCGCAGGTCTCCCCGCCCCTGCTCTGCTGGCCACGCTGCAGCCAGTGATCTTTTCTCCAAGCGCCAGTCCCTTGCTTCTGCCCACCTCCGGTTTCACCTCTTGGCACATCGCACACCAGAGTATCATCTCCTCTCCTTTTACATTGTGGAATCCTCAGCGCCTGGCACAACGGGTGGAATGTGCCCGAGGGCTGAGGCTGCACGACGCTCCACATCCCCCTGTGGGCCGTGGGGAGCAGCGTCCGCACCCGCTGGTGGGCAGCAGGAGCCGGCCGACGCCTGGGCCTGTGCCCGCCTTGCCGCGCGCTGCAGGCCTTTGTTCCCAGGAGGAAAGAAGACCCGCGTAGCACAGCCTGCCTCCCTGGGGTGTGCGGGGCTGTGGTTGGGGGCCGTCGCCGCAGGATTCAAGCCCAGCTCTCCATCCGCGTCTCCCGGGCTACTTTCCAGGATGGGGGGTCGTGCTCCCGCCGGCCGGGAGGGGTCGCCCTGGGGCCGGGCCGGAGACGCGGGCCTGCGGGGCCGCGCCCGCCCGCGTGCGCAGGCGCGGAGCGCTCTTCCGGCGCCGCTTCGCCTCCGCCCGGCTCCCCGGCGGGGATGCTGCGGCGGAGCGGCTGGCTGAGGCGGCTCCCGTCGAGACCCGGGGCCGGAGCCCGTGCCCGGCTCCCCTCAGGCGCCGAGATGCCCAGGAAAGGCGGTGCGACGAACAAGGCCAGTGGCAAGCCCCGTGGCAGGGGGCGGGGGAGGCGGGGCAGCGCAGCCGGCGGCTGGCGGCCCCCGGGACCCGGGGCCCCCGCGGCCTTCTGCCGCCCCGCCTCCGTCCGGACGGCGGGGTGCCCGTAGCGCAGCGCCCCCGGCGTCGGGGGCTCGGGGCGGCGCCCTCCCGCGCTGGGCCGCCGGTGCGCAGCCTCTGCGCCCCTGCCGCCGCGCTGCCCGGGCCCTGGACGCGGAGCTGGGCGGCGCTCCCGTCACGGGGGCGGGCCTTGGGTGCCGCCGCCGCGCCTTCCTCTCCCGCAGCACACGCGCTTGCAGCCCGGTTGCGCGCACACGCTTGCCAGCTCGTGCTGCCGGAGGTGCGCGGGTGGGTGAGAGGTGGCCCTGCGCCTGGGCGAGGGCCCGGCCCCCAGGGGGCTGGTCGCGAATTCCCGGCGCAGGAGGCTGACGCTCGGCTGGGCCGATCGGAGGGCCTCGTGCGAGAAGGGGTTCGGGAAGCTCGGGAAGCCTCTCCGGGTGGCCAGAGACTCCTGAGCGCGGCGAGCTCGTCTTCGTTAAAGGCGAAGGGGGTCGGGGGCACGTGCCGTACAGCCTGTAAAGTCGTCGTGTGGGTGTTGTTGTCGTTTTAGGCTAAGAACCAGAGCAAGGAGCCAGAGAGGCCACTTCCTCCCCCGGGTCCTGTGGCGGTTGATCCTAAGGGTGGCGTCACCATAGCCATCCGTGCCAAACCCGGGTCCAAACAAAACGCTGTGACAGGTATATGTGGACGCTGAGCTGGGAGTCATGGGGCGGGGGAAGGGGGTCCCCCTCCGTCCCCCCTTCGCCTTGGTCGGCTCAAAGTGGATCCTGTGCAGTCGGTGTGGTTCTCGAATCTGCCGTGAGAGGCTTCCCCGTTTCCTAGATTCTAATAAGGTGAAGGTGTAAATCCAGTGTCGACGCGAACATACGATATTTAAAGCATACCCAGCTCGATGAAGAAGCCATTGTATATTTTCTCCCTTAAAAATACGGTATTTTAGAAAGGACACGTGTATGTAGCCTAGAATTACTAGTTTGTCCTTATTTCAGAAGTGGAGACATTTTGGTTGAGTTTAATGACCCAAGGAGGAGGAGAAAACCTGGAATCTGAGAGCTCTGGTCTTCAGCTCCTGTGCAAACTTGTTTTAAGTTAAAACAATACAAAACTTTTCTGGGCCCAGTTCTTTTTTCTCTGTGGGATGGAATATTGGACTAAGAGGCTTTCGGGCGATTCCCTGGAGCCCAGAAGGTGCCTCAGGGATCCCTTAGGTGGACACGGCGGGGTGGGGGGCAGCAGGCAGGGCTCCTGAGTAACTGTTTTCATTTATTGTGAATGTTGGGAGTCCAGGGGAACTTGTATGGGGGCAGGTGGCGGGGGCGGTATTCTTGGTGGGAAAAAAGTTTGAGAACCATTCATCTGAAATACTGTGAAGGTCTTTTTCACCTCCAAAGCTGTTTATTCCTTTTCTTTTTACACTTTGAAAACAAGACCTCAGAACTGGGGTGCTGGACGTGGTTTGTGCTAGTGGCCGAGTTAGCTTGGCTGTGTGGGGGCCGCACCCACCATGGCCAGCATTTTCTGAGTAGTCGCTGTGGACAGCCCGCTCTCGGCACACCACGTGTCGCCAAATCTGAGATGCCATCCACTAGAAGGTACGCAAGTATTCTGTGTACCAGCAAGACAAAATCCATGTGAATACTTTCTTTGCCCTCTATTGTGAGACACATCTGGATTTGAAAGGTACTAAAATGCGGACAAAGGCACACCTTAGAATCCCAGTCGATGACAGGACAGGAGGTGGGTTGTTGTGCTACTTTGTGCTTGTGGATTCCGTGGCCACGTCGTTCACATGGGCAAGGTGTAAGTGTGTGAAAATGCCTGCGTAACCCCAGGTGGGGACCAGCTTAAGCTCACTTGCAAACTCCTTTGAGTAAATATTTCTCACTCCAAGTAACTGTGGAGGACTAGGGGCAGGTGCACTTTATAAAGGCTGTATTGACCGGGGAGGCAGGAGCACTCTTCAAAAGCAATGTTCTCTGTCCCGGGATGTCAAAGCATGCATTCAAATTAACTTTGACTTACAACATAGCTTTATAGCCATGTGCCCTTGGGCACATCTGGATTTGTTTCCTCATTTGTCAACTGGAGATCATCATAATGGCATTAATATCTTCTTCATAAAGCTGTAGTGAGGATTGAACACATTAATATTTGTGAAGTCCCTGAAACATGTTTGTGTGCCATCGAATTAGTGTATACAAGTGCTGTGTAAATGTTTAAATGCTGCATTTTAAAAACCAAAAGAGGCATTTCACATGAGCTGAATCTCATTTTCCCAATGACGGAACCGTGAGCTGGCTCGTTCACACCCAGCTCCTGATCCAGTTTCCAGTTGCTTGAGGCCCAGGACACTGCCCAGGACTCTGGGCCCATCTTGGTCCACAGGATGGGGGAAATGTCAGTTTTCTCTGGATTTCTTTCCTGAAATGGCAGAGGCGTATTTATCATGTTTATGTTCCTTCAAGTGTGAGTAGTTTACTCGCTCATTTCTTCATGCAGTAGTTATTGATGGAAAACCCACTCTGTGCCAGGGAAACCCTTTTACAGAGTATCCTCGCTCCTGAGGATATAGTCCGCGCTGATTTCATTGCAGACGTGACAGTGGAAGCTGTGAGCGTGGCCATAGCAGCCCCCCCGTCGGAAGGAGAGGCTAATGCCGAGCTCTGTCGGTACCTCTCCAAGGTCTTGGAGCTCAGGAAGAGTGACGTGGTTTTGGATAAGGTAGGTCTCTCTCCCTGGAAACAGCTTTGATGATTACACAGTCATTATTTTATAAATACGGGTTCTTTCTTTTCCAAGTAATTGAAAAGCTAGGTTTTCTTTTTAAACTCTCGTCCATTTAATCACTAAAATGTGTGAATTCTTTGTAGTCTCCTTCATTCCTACTGCCTTGATCCTTACTCTGACCGTGCTCTGTACATGTATTCCTTAGTTGCCACCATTTCGAGCATTTTCTCCTTTCTACATGTATTCTTGTACCTGCTGTCAGACTGATTTTATCTGTCTTTTCCTTCAAATCGTCACCATACTAACAAATCTGAAAGGGGTCCCTTAGTGAGTCCATCAACGTGTTTCTGGTCCCCCACGTTATCCTGACTCCCGGGAGAAGCTCATTAAGAAGAGAGAGGGCTAGGTGAAGTCATTAATATCATGGGTTTGCTCTGGGGGTGGGTATCAAAATCACCTGGGAATGATGTCTAAAATACACATTCCTGGGCATCACTCAAGACTTTTTTTTTTAAGATTTTATTTATTTATTTGACAGAGAGAGGAGAGACACAGCGAGAGAGGGAACACAAGCAGGGGGAGTGGGAGAGGGAGAAGCAGGCTTCCCGCCGAGCAGGGAGCCTGATGCGGGGCTCGATCCCAGGACCCTGGGATCATGACCTGAGCCGAAGGCAGATGCTTGACAACTGAGCCACCCAGGCGTCCCTCAAGACTTATTGAAATGGAATTTGCAGGAGTGAGACCCAACCATGCTTCTAATGATATACTCTCTAGATCCAGGTTCTAGCTGGCATTCAGAGTCTTTGGTTAATAGGCTGCATCTAAAAATCTCTCCCATCAGACCACTTCCCTTGATGTATCTTCCACCTGTGGCAGGTCATTTCGGATTCTGTCGGTGCGCACGCTCTGACATTGGCGTGAAAGGCACTTCCTGCTCTTCTACCCCGATAGATGACCCTGGCTCAGATTTTACCTTCTTTAAAGGATGTTTCAAAATGAAACCCTTGGCTCAGTTGGTTGTGGCATTAGAGCATTTGCTTTTTTTTTTTTTTTTTTGAATTTTCAGAAATGTGTAACAGAACAGCAGTTCTATATTTGGAATGATTTTTATACAAAGTTTATATAAAATTGCAAATTTGATAATTTAAAAAATAATTTTCACTTTTAATTTAAACCAGGAAGTTACTTAAAAACACGATATTCTACGTCTGGACTCCATTCATTTTGAAATTTTAATGCCAGTTTTTATTATTACAGAAATTGATGTATGAAGGTAAAAACCCTGGAGAGTTGTCAACATTTGTAGTACGGCGGAATCTAGGGATACAGCTGCTGGTTAGACCAGAAACCCAGAGATGAGCGGGAGAACGCGCTAGCTCGGCTGTCGGGAAAGCTGCAGCCCATCAGCGGCAGCCCCGAGGACTCAGCTTTGATGGCCGCAGCTGAGCCCTGCTCTCTCTAATAGCACTAGAATGCTCAGTGAGTCATCCTCACACCATTTTTTCCTTTTGGTCCAGGGTGGTAAATCTCGTGAAAAAGTGGTGAAGCTATTAGTGTCCACAACTGCAGAAGAGATCTTGGAGAAATTAAAGCAGCAAGTTGAAAAAAAATAAAAGCAAGTTATGAGAAGTACATCCTTGAGAAGCTTTTTAATTGCTATTCATGAAGAGGCTGTTAAGTAGGAAAATGTATTTCAGTGCACTGAAGAACATGAAAAAAAAAATTTAAGAACAGGACTCAAAAGAGAAGTAGGAATTTTAAAAGTATTGTATGTTCGATGTAGGTTCTGACATCCAGACAGTTTGGAACATGTTAGTCCGATTTCATTGCATTACAAAATAACAGAACTGGAAGAGATCTTCAAGACGACCTCAGTCGGCCCCTTTCATCCTGTGACGGGGCTTCTGCTATCCAGAAGTTGAGAGTCTTGTTCAGGATCACACCATGCGGGATGGCAGCTAGGACCCAGGGCTCCTGGTTGGATGCAGTTTATCCTGATTGTAAATGAAGATGTTTCCACAGCACTCTAGGGTTCTGAGAATTGCCTTCTCTAGAGTTTACAAGTGACAGAAGAAAACCTGTCACACTGCTTTGTGGTCTTACTTTATATTTTAAAAGGCTTATCTAAATACAAAAATGCTTTTTGTGTCTTTTGAAAACTCTATGGAGCATTTTGTGAAAAAGTAAGAGTAATCAGGACTTGTAATTTACTGTTAATTATTTTGGGGAAGTCACTGAATTTTTGTCCTCATTGGATGGTGCAGTCTTCAAATGTGGTAGTTCTATGAATCTCCAAAGATCCTTAAAAGAAGAGGGCCTGGAAGCTACTTTCAGTATTTGTAAAAGCCTATCAGAAATCATATCTACATTAAAGCTTCAAAAGCTAATAATAAATACCTTGTTTTTCAATATCCAATGCAAGTTATAGTGATTTGGTCAGGTAAATAAGTTCATTACCTTTGCTGATCAGAATCAAAGCAGTTGTGTGCTTTTGTCTAAGTACCTGAGAAAATATATTGGTAGACGAAACGTTTAAAAATACAAAATCCCCAAGAAGGACCAATAATAAAAATTACTGATGATGAAAGAGCTGAGAAATTGCCATCTAGTACAACTCCTATTCTGTTGATAGGAACCAAGGACAAGAAGAGTCACTTGGATTACCCAAGATCCCAGCTAATACTAACGGCAGAACACGAGTTATGCTCAGCTGCCTTCTTCTCGAGGCCATACTGCCTCCAGAAGTGCTTCTGCTGTACCTGGTCTTGGCTTCAGAACTTTTCCTGCTCTTTTCCCATACATTTCAGTGTGTGCTCTGAAGGCATTTTACTTACGGTTTTTTTACATGGATCACTGTTAGGATGCCTTCCTTGACAAGTAACAGAAACCGAACTCTATCTGGCTTACACCATAAAGGGACTTGTTAGTCCAATACCTGGAAAGTCCAGAGGCAGGGTTTACTTAGGGGTCAGTCTGATGCAGCAGCTCAGCGGTGTCATAAGGGACTCTCTTTCCTTCCCCTGCCTCATGCTCGCTAGCAGTGCCAGCTTCATCCTTAGGCCCACTTCCTTCATGGAGGCAAAAAGGCAACAGCTCTAGGCTTCACATCCCCATGCCACTCCCTGCAGCAGGAAAAGAGGCCACTCAGAAGAGCTCTGGTATTTTCCAGAAGCTCTGTTAGCTTCTCCCCACTCCTTTGTGTCTAGGGAATGGGGGGAGAGAACCAGAGAATGTAGGTGGCACCTTTGTAATGTTTAAAGTTCCAAACAACTAAAAGCTCAGACTTCGGGAGGCAGGTTTTCTCTGGGCTATGGGCTGCCAGGTATCCCCCCTCCCCCCCGCCCCAGCCAGGGATTTGTAGTAAGGGATTTGGTTAAGTAGTTCCTTAACTGTAATGCAAAATATAAATTTAAAAACACACTGTGACCCCCCCCATAAATTTTCTAAAATGCATGTGACTAGAGACTAAACATTTTAAGAAGCTAGATTTTCAATTTACATCCAAGAGGTGGCACCATAATTCAACAGCAAAAGCCACACAGAATTTGAGGGGACTGGTAATTCCTTGAAGTGAGCAGTACTAGTCGGAAATGTCTTCTGTGGTGCCTCCCAGTGTCACACACTGATCTTGCTGGTCTTGGAGACATTTCTTAGGCTTATCGCCACATTCCTTGCGATCAGTTCGGGTCAGAGTGTGGTGTTAACTTCCTTGGCTGGGTCCTCAGAAGTCCTAGCTCAGTACCTCAGTGGAGTCAGCATGGCCCCGAGTGTCTCCATTCATTCTGCAGCTTTCAGAAACCCCAATTTAGTTGGTGTTTTTGAAAATGGAACTGGGCTGGGAAATTGGCAAGGAATTCATTTCTAAACACGATGCCAGTTTATTAATTTGAGTGAAGAACACACCTGCCAAATAGATGGGATAGTGGGATCCTCTAGTGAGTATATTCTATTACTTTGGGAAATCCCTTCAAGAAGCCAGTCATCACTTGAAGACTGCTTGGAGAGCTTGGGATCAGAACCAAGGGAATTAGGGGATGGGCAGGGGAGCTCTGACCATCTGAGAGAGACCCATTATATCTTAGCCCGTCTCCTGGGACAACACTGCACACTGACGCTTCCTGGCACAGGAGCTCCCCTTTTCTAGGCTCTGAGAAGACCACCTACTTCTGCCCAGATAGGCTTTCCTATGACAGTCCTTATAATTCAGTTGATAAGGTTCTCAGCATTTTGTAATCCTTTTCTGGCTGTGTGCCACTGGGTCCATCTAGTCCCCTTGATACTAGAGTCTGGGCAGGGGGAACCCCCAAACTTAAGAGACTCCGTGGTCATTTCTACATGAAGCTCCTCCATAAGATGGTTTTACTATCACATTGGCTTTCAAATTGTGTCAGCGCCTTATGTTTCCCTAGGGATACCTTGGGGGGTTGGAGAACTGGAGACTAAGGGAGTGAGTCAAGTCAACAGAACTCCAAGCCTTTAGTCCTCTTCCAAAACTATGCTGTCAGTATGGTAGCTGCTAGGCGCATGTGGTTACTGAGCACTTGAAAGGTGGCTAATCAGATTTTTTTAAAAAAATAAAAGCATCATGGAAGAAAAGGCCATGTTGGAAACAAGAGAGAGGAGGCAACAGAGAATAGGGCACAGAGTTTGGAAGGCAGGATAGAGAAAGGTGAGCAAAGAAAGGAAAATGACAGATCTAGAAGTCCGGCAAAGGGAAGTCAACACAGACATAACTGGGGTCCTGAAAAAGAACCCAAAAAGTGGAACAGAACAAAGATTTCAAGATATAATCAAGAAAATATTGGGAAAAAAAATGATTTTAAGGAATAAAAGGTGCAGCATCCCAGGGGAAACACTGACAAAGAATGGTTGACAGGGAGATAAAACCTAGTAAAGTTCTCTGATTTCAAAAACAAAAACGCTGGTGGCCAACTAGACAAAAAGTTGAAGTCCTAGGAAGGGAGAGGGGAGACATATATATGGACGTTCATATGTTGCTAATGGGAATGTGAAGTGCTACAGTGTTTTAGAAAATGTGGCACTTACTAAAAATACAGGTGTTTTAATCTAATAATCCTACTTTGGAGAATACCTCATAGAATACATAAAAATGCCAAAGAATATAGGCAAAAAAGAGGAAACAATCTAAGTGTCTACCTATAGGAGAATAATCATATCATCAACAGAAAATCCATACCATAGAGTATTAGACTGTTAATTTTTAATCTCTAGTTACTGGAGTCATGTCTATTATGTTGCATGAACAAAGAGTAATACGTGTGTGTGTGTAAATTTATATGTACAATCTCACTTCAGTAAACAGAAAAATATATACGTATATCAAATTTACACATATTTGTGTGGGCATGGTAAAAGAGAACATACACAACAGGCCATAATCGCTGGATGAGTGCAGTGATTGGTGGTGGTTCACTTTTTTATGATGTTTTATTATTTTGTATACACCCCAAACATATATAGTGAAGGAAATTTTAAAATGAGAAAACACTCAAATGAAAAAGCTCTGGCCTTTAGCAATTAGAGAAGCTTTATTCATGTAATTCAGACAAAGGCTGGAGATCCGTTAGGGAGTTAAAGGCACTGGCAGTGGAAAAAAACCATGAGATCATCACATCCTCCCCTACAGCTATCTCAGGAGAAGTCACTGAAACCCAGAGAAAATCTAACTGGTAATTAATACATGGGCTCTGTGTGTCCCTTAGGGACAGGAATGAAAACAACTGAATTAGCCCATCAGCCCGTGGAGACTTTGGTAAAGACTTGTAAGCTGCCTTCCTTGCACCCAGGTCAGCCCAGAGGTACCCCACATCCCACTCTACCTCTGGACGCACACAGCTGACACGGACCTGCAACCTATTGTGTGCCCAGCCCCGTGATGCATACTTTGTGTAAATGCTTTCACTTAATCCTACAAGGGGGCAGTCAGAGTACATGTTAGCAGTTTTGATGGAAGGCCTGTCCTCTTAACTTGCTTCTCCCATACCGTCCTGTAAATCTTAAAATCTGGGGGTTATTATCCACAGCTTATCTCCACTTTCCCAGCCTGAGGGCACTGGTAACCAACTCCTCAGATAAGAGCATTTCTTGGGCACCTAGCAGCCTCCGCAGTGGTACAGGAGCTGAAGCTACTTCAACTGTGGCATGTCCTGATAGCGTGTAGCCCTACTGATGAGCCCCATGCAGCCGGCTTGTTCCATGCTGTTCTCTCCCAGAATGCCCATGGGTTACGGGATCTCTGCTACTGTCCCTATCTTCCTCAAAAGCTGGTCCTAGTAGAGGTCTAGACTTCTGGAAAGGAGGAGATACTTGCTCAAGGCTACCTTGGAGTCCAATGGTATAATCTATTTGAATCTAGTTATTGATTTGGCTCCATAATAATTTACCAGAAGCCAAGCGAAATCTTTGTTCAGATAGTACAGAACCTAGCACAAAGAATATATCTGAATTCTGAAGCAGAAATCTAAAAATTAACGTAACTCCTACTGATGTCAAGAGTATTTACTCCTGTTGGCTTTAATTCATTCTAAATTAAAAGCCAGAGGATTGTAAAAGCACATATTTCTAAATTTATAAACAAACACAGGAATGACACAGAGTGAACTATATAATTGGGTTTTTCACACAGAATTAGCTAAAGTCTATTTAGTACTTCAAAATCCTCATTTATATCTCAAATATGCTCCTGTGGTCAAAATACAAGATACTGAAAGACAAATCCCAAATAAACTTCTCAGTGAATGGTTTGTAATACCTCAATTTGTCTAACATTACCAAAGTAAGCACTTTCACAAGTCATCTTTCAAGCTAACTGAAGTTATTAAATGGTATTACAAGTTGCCATGAGTGGGGAGTATATTCCCTACATTTTCTAATGAAAAAAAAAATTGCCTTTCACTGTAAGCAATAGCACTAAATAAAAGAAGTCAAAGGCCAGGGGCATAGGTTTCCACACACAGCCAAATCTGTGTTTGGGTTGAATGAATCAAAGGGAATAGGTCTAGGAAAAATTTTAAGGTGTTAAAATGTCTTTAGAAACAAGGTGTGGTGCTTTTATTAAAGTTCAGAATTAGTGTTATCAGTAATCTTCAGGGCAAGATATAATTTCCTTCCTTTTTAGTATTCTAAACTTAAAACTGACATTTCAGGGCGCCTGGGTGGCTCAGTTGGTTAAGCGACTGCCTTTGACTCAGGTCATGATCCCAGGGTCCTGGGATCGAGGCCCACATCGGGCTCCCGGCTCAGCGGGGAGCCTGCTTCTCCCTCTGACCCTCTCCTCTCTCATGCTGTTTCTCTCTCGCTCGCTCTCTAATAAATAAATAAATAAAATCTTTAAAAAAAAACAAACAAACTGACATTTCATTACTCTTAATTCTATCATAAAATTCTAGATTTTCC